AAATGTATACACCCCGGCTTATCATGTAGCGGTAGCTTTCGGAAAGGTGGAAAACATATATTTAATACTTGCGCCGGGTATTTAATGTTCGGCTCCGCCCGAACTTAGACTTTCTTACTTGTTTCTCTCCCAGATGTGTCGCGTTGGACTAGCAAGAAACTTCTTTCGGAATATTGTACGCCTTGATTACAGTGATAGAAAGTGGCCCGAAAAATATAAAAATCATAAAATAGGTATTAAATGCTCATTTAAATTATTTTACTCATAATGATTACCGTCCCCGTTTAATATTCATTTAAAAATTTCAATTGCTACTTTGCGATAAGGGACAGAGTATTCGCATAGTAAAACAAAAAGTTCGATTCTCAGCTGGCGACAATTTTTAATTCTCAAAACGCCATTAGTATCTGTCATACCATTTCGGGTTTAAAACGGTACCATTAAACTCTTTAATGCAGCCATGCCTAGCGCAGGCATGGAGTTCGTTTATGCCTGTTTTAAAAAATATGCTCGTATAAAATGTATCACTTCATTCCTTTTAAAGCGATCAAGAGAGATATCAGTCGAAAATTCCGTTGAAAAGGATCCCGAAGTTATCCCGGACGGCCGCATTTACTACGGGGATGTATGTATTTATGTATATGTATATTTGTTCTACTGGTCGGTTGGTGGCCAATTGACAGTACATATCTACACACATATTTGTGCATGTGGAATTGATAACGTCGAGTGCAGTTCTAGCTCTACGCTGAGCCATTCTACTTTTGCGTTGTCTTTCATATGCACATATGTATGTATGTACATTCGGGTGGCCCAAAAATACATAGGAAAATAAACTTGTTTGATTTTTTTTTTTTGCTGCTTTATGTTTTCATAACCACATCATGCACGAACAGCTCATTGGATGAGGTTTTTTTGCAGTGTGCTCGATTTTTTCTGTTCATTGTTCCTTTTTTTAGAAAGGTGGCACCCAGACCAAAAATAGTTTTAAATATCTTTAAACGTTTTCCGTCTTGATGAACTAACTTAATTATTTTATTGAGCCTTTAAACAATTTTAAATTCCCAAATATCTGGCAACCCAATTTTTCAAAATTTTTTACCATAGACCTACAAAAAACATTGAGCGTGATGTGGTTATGACAACATAAAATAACTAATTTTTGTATATAACAGATATGATTATCGTTTATTAAAACACACTTAGTAACATTTTTAAGTTAAATAGGCATCATAGTATTATTTTTTGAAGACTTTTGAAGGGGAATAGTATTATTCGGTCAAAAAATATTTATTTTTAACGAATAAATAGCAATTTTACGAAAAAATAATAATTTTTCCCACGGTAAATACATACACATATTATTTTTGATATTCGTCAGTTCTGGGGGAACAAAATTTTGGGTCACCCTAATGTACATCTTTTATAAAATTCTGTTTTTAATGCAGTGTAATAAATTGGGTAAAAGTGGTTTATTTGTGAATAGACAAAGCGACAATTTAATTCATTATATAGATTTGCTTGTATGCTACTTATCACTAGGATTCACACACTTTTGCGTTCAAACATTTGCTACAAAACGTTTTTAAGTATAAATAAATTTTGCTATATAATAACAGATGTATGAATATATGTATGTATGTATGTACAATTGTGTACTAACAAACCATGGCTGCATTTTTTTTTTTAACAGCCAAACATGTACCATACTGGGGGCTATCAGATTTGTAGCGTAGTAATAAAATTTGTGGTCACGTACTGGGTTAGCTCTCATTATACCCGAGCGCACTTGTGCACAAGGGTATATTAATTTTGTTCACATAACGGTTGTTTGTAACAGCCAAAACGAATCGAGATAGATATAGACAAATGTATACATAAATGATCAGG